AAAATCTGCAGAAAGATATAAATTACTGTTGGAAGTGATGGTCTGTTCATTTTTATTCAATCTTCATTATTTTTATTTATCAATTATTTTTTTTTGCAGGCAAACATTCATTGCACCTCCACTCCCACTGCCAAGGACAACAGCCCATCATCAGTGAGTGTCTATGGAGCCACTCAGAAAATAACGGCTGTAGCAGTCGTATCGATCTTACTGGTTTATAAATACTTTTCATATTTCTCACTGATACCACCAAAGAGATTACATTTCATGCAATGAATGCATTATTTACAATAATTTGTGTTATTGTTCAGAGTTATATCTACTTTTCTAGGTTTTCATTCTGTTGGATTATTGGAGCTTCTAACCCTAAAATAAAAACACATTCATCTTTCAAACACCGCCCATCACTTATCTTACACTAGGTGCATTTCTTTCATTGACTCCAGTCATTTTTCAGTTGTCCTTCATCCTAAAGTTTGGCTTCTCCAACTCTTCTATCTATAATATCTTTTGTTTTTTTCTCCATCTCCAGACGCGACCCGGTGCCATCCAGCCCGTCGGCCGTGTGTGGCCAAGTACCTCCCCCGCCACTCCAGACGGCCACAGTCCCAACCCCTTTCAGCATGGCCCCTCCCCCTTCAACTCCCAGACCTCTGTAAGACCCCTCACCACCACATAGGGCTGTTCTATCACCTCTGTCAGCTCTGTGCTACGTCCTGTGACAGCACAGTTCACTTTAATGGTGTCCAAGAACGGAACAGAAAATACAGATGTTCATGGCACGAGAATGATTTTAGTTTCTAAATGAGTCTAGAACCAAAGAAGGGAAGGCCGGTGTTAGAAGTCACCGCTGCCGTCTGTGACCTTCAGGCACACCTAGAGGTCACCTGTGTTTGAACTACACCTGCGTCCGACCTGACTCCGAGCTCCTGAGTCAAACTCATGATTTCACCTTTCTAAAATTTTCGTTTCTTCTCTTGGCAGCAGCTCAACTCAATTGGTAAATACTGACAAACCCATGATTTCATCTCACATCGTCCAGATTGTTTCATGAAGGTGCTCACACAGAAAAATCAGTCATGGCGTGGAAGTTTCCGAGCCCTACTGTCTGTCTCTCTCTGGCATACTCCCTCCTCTCTCTCATGAAACCAGCTGCCATGCTGTTCACCTTTCTCCTCCACAGTCTTCTTCAACTTTGCTGGTTTTTTTCATAGTCTACCCTCTCCTCCATCTGTCTGTCTGTCCTCCCCACCTCCTCCTCTCCTCTTCCTCTCCTCTTCGCCTCCTTCTACCATATGGACCTACCCCACCCTCCATGCCCCCTGCTCCCTCCCCCCTGCAGCCTCGCGCCCCCTCCCCCACCTCGCCTGACGAGTTCCCCATGAATGTCAAGCAGGCATACAAGGCGTTTGCCGCCGTGCCTCGCTCACTGGCAGTGCTGGAGCCGCCGCAGGTAGGCCAAGCTGCCCGGACTCGCCCGGGTCACGACACAAGCATGCTCTGGTGATTGGTTGATCTCACCCCGCCCCCTCCTGACTGGAGCAGGCTGTCCTTTTAGGAGCCTGTGCCTGGTTGGGGGTCCTGTGACGTGCTGTGACGTGTGGAATGCCTTCATCGTGCGTTGTTGTACTCCAGTGCCATCATCTGTCATACTGGTGTTGACTCATTCGTCCATTCCGTGTGTGACTCGTGTACTAATATTCAACCCTCTTTCTTTGTGTATTCTGAATCCCAGCTGTTCATGAGACTGCCTGCTCTCTAACTGTCGTGTCCTGAGTTTATTGCTCATCACATTTATTAACACCTTCCCTGTTTTTTCCTACAGGACCTGTTTGGTGTGAGGAACAATTTTCATCCAAAGCCAGTTTCTCCAGAGGTGAGGAAACATGTCGACAAGTTACCACAGAAAGTTCAGCTTTCTGTGACAGTAACACGCTCACATTAGAGATTTTGCTTCTGTAGGAATGAACATTTACATGTTAGTTTGCTTTAAAAGTTTTTTAGAAGCCGGGTTTATCCAACTGGAGTTTCAGATGATTCGAATTAGGAAAGATTCTCGACATAAAAACAGATTAAAAACTCTGCTCAGTGGCAGATAAAGACTTAATCGCCGGATTAGTGTTTTTCAAAGTTAGCAAATGAGCAACATGGTGATTAAATGACACAATAAATATAAGTAATTCAACAATCTGAGAATAATTCAGTGGTCGACCTTTGTGGCTTTTTCAGCCTGAGTTGAACAACGAGGTGTTTGATGATGACATAGATGGTCAGGAGGGAGCTGGGAGGGGTCTGACCAGCAAGGTCTCCCCCCGGCAGGACTATTTGAACCTGGCAGCAGTGCCTCGTCTCTCCAGGCCCTCAGCGGACCTGCAGGTACCCACCGCCTCTGGGCTGTGGTGTGCTTGGCTTGACCGGTGGTGGGGTGAGGCAGCCGTGCTACTTCTGTCAATAGTGGGGCTGCCAGATAATTCAGCTTAAATCAGCTCCATGGTGCTGGGTTCTTATTCATATTCATTCATTTCTCTTTCTCCTTGGTCCAAAGTACTTTTTCCCTTTTGCATCTCTGGTGTTTGCTCTTTTGGCAAATGGCTCTGCAACAATGAAAACAGCAAAAAAACTAAACTTTTGCCTTTATTTTGCTGTCCTCTCATTCGTTAATATCTCAGCTACTCTTAACCTTTATCGTTTCCGTTACCCTACAGAGTCCGTCTCCTAGCGGTAAGGACAGCCCAGAGCAGCGCTCTTTCAGGGACAGACAGAAGTACTTTGAGATCGACGTGAAGCAGCAGACTCCTGAAAAACCTAAACCTCGAGTCTCTCTTGTTGGAGAGGATGACCTCAAGAAAATGAGGGAGGAAGAAGGTACGTGTGCGTCTCCTTCTACATCCCTTCCTAAACATTTGACTCTGTGACATTTAACAACCTGTCTGTTCATCTCACTCCAGCGAGGAAGTTTGATCAGCGGGCGCAGGAGTACCTTCTGGACGAAGATGAAGAGGATGAGGAGGAGGACTTGGCTCAGCAGGTGGCTCAGATGAAGGCCACGGGCAAAGTGTTGCTGGACGGTGTAGAGTATAAAGTGGAGCCAGTGTCCAGCCCATCTCAGCACTGCACACCTCCGAGCTACAACGTCACACCACCAAGCTACTGTGGCAGCTCAGGGTAATAATCCGTGTGCTGCTTTTGCTTTACACATAACGTTTCTCTCCATCTCTTCAGCTAACTGTTCTTCTTGTGTGTAGACCCTCCTCCGTTGACGGTAAAGGAGACTCTCAGAGGAATTCACTGGAGGACAGCTTCAGGCTGGAACAGAGGCCCAACTCCATGACTGGGTAATGACAACGCACAGCATCACATCTTTTAAATTTAGTCTGTGTTGTTGTCTTTGTCACTGAATCTCCTCCTCTGGCTCGTCAGTCTGATCCCAGTGTATCCAGGGGAGTCGGCGGCTCCCATCCGCACAGCCAAGGCAGAGCGCCGACATCAAGAGAGACTTCGTATGCAGAGCCCCGAGCTGTCTGTAGCCCTCGACAAGGACCTGTCCCCAGCTGAGAAACGAGCTCTGGAGGCTGAGAAACGAGCCATGTGGAGAGCAGCACGGTAAAAGAACAAATTTACACATGGTGACTCCAGATAATCCAACAGGTCCTTTGGCGCATTAAACCTTTTCTTTACTTTTCTATTTATCCTCAACTTGTTTTTTTAGCACTGATAAAAAAGAAGAAGCGTCGACTGATTCGACCCCTAGAAATCGTTTTATGGACTTTGTGTGAAGTCGTCATGTCTTAAACACAGTTCTCTCTATAGTGACGTAAAGATTCAGAAAATAAAAGCTCACACTTGGTTTGATGTAGCCTCCGTTAAGACTTCTCTTCCCTCTGTCACATTTCCTGATAAACAGGAAGCTGCTCAATAACAAAGAAAAGGATTTTGTTCAGTTAGCACAAATACAGGTTTACAGCTAAATGTGTGTTGTGGCAGCAGCATCCTCTGTGTGTGTGTGTGGTTGTTAGCCCCCTCCCCTCTTATTATTTTAAGTCTAAAACGTCTAGAAAAGAAAAAGCCTATTTATTATTTCTGCTTCTCTTAATTGTGTGAGTGTTTTATCTTCCACTCTTTGGTTTTCTTCTCTTTTTCTGTCTTTGTGCCTTTTCTTTCCTCCTTCCTCTCTCCTTGTTTCTTCCTCTTCATCTCTCTCCTTCACCCTGGTGTACTTCATTCCTCTCTCCCCTCCTCTGTCCCCCTCTTCCTCCCCCTGTCTTCGGCCTCGTGGGCACAGGCCCTGTGGTCTAGAGGAGGATGTTAGGCAGTATGAGCAGGACCTGGCTAAGAGGCTCTACCAGGCCCGGGTGAGGGCGTCTCAGGGCACGGCTGCGGCCCCCCAGCCCCCTACCTCTACCTCTACCTCCTCCTCTGCAGCCTCCCAGCTCAGGTCTGCTCCGCGGCTCAGGCCACCAGGGCCAGACGCACGGCATCATGGGGGTGTGCTGGGGTGCTTTGCCGTTGGTATTTTTGCTAGAGGCCGATTTTGGAAAGGTCCAAGCAAGCACTCGCAGCGACGACACTGTGACAGTGCTTCACTGCCTTTCTAGTGCTGTCTTGCTTCTGCACGTCTTTGCTGTTTCCATTTCTAGCTCCCTCTGTTTCCTCCCTCTCTGCCCTTTGTCTTGTCTCCCTCTCTCTGCAGTACTCTCTCCATTTTCATTTGTGCCTTGCTGTTCTCTTGAGTTTTCATTCTGTGATTTGTACTAACACAGCAGTAAGTTTGCAAGCTATTTGTGAGTTCAGGGTAAACCTACTCGCAGTAGGTCGTCCTTTTCCTGGAATGCTCCAATGTTTTTAATCGTGCAATGAAATTCAAGCGGTTTGTCACAGCAGACCAGGACAAGGAGAACCCAGAATTAGTGACTGGTGCTGCACCCACCTCAGTGGTGTGTGCCTGTTTGAGTCATTACCTGTTTAAGGCTTTAATTTCCTTTAGTTAGTCCTTAGTTACTGTCATTCGTCTGATAATGATTGTGTCTCTTGCAGAATGAAGTCTCTGGAGCAGGATGCACTAAAGGCTCAGATGGTCATTGCAAAGTCTCGGGATGGAAAGAAACGTGGGACGTTAGACCAGCTGACGGAGTCGCCGTCCCCTGCTCCCACACCCTCTCCTACACCTATGGAAGGTAGGGCGCTGCTCTCTGTACGAGCACTGAGGCCTATTTACATGACAATCATCTTCTCATGGACTGATGTCGTGGATTTAAAGTTTCTCATGTCTGATAATCAGTGGAATAGATTTTAGGCTTGATTTCAGATCTCACAAATCCACCGAGACAATTGCAAAAACTGTGTTACTGTCCAATTACTTATGGACTGGACTGTATGTCTTGAAGTACTTAAAGAAAGTACTTTTAAGAAAACTTTTAATTTCTAAGTAGATCTTTATATCTTTTAAGTATATCTTTTCTTAACTTTTCYGTTTTGGTGTACACACCAGAGTTTTCGAGCATCTAAATTGTAGAAGTTTGGAAACACTGCCTCATTTTAGTAGACAATCTGCTTCCTGTTTACACCGGCACACACGTTACGTCTTGTGTGGATRGAGTTTACTGACACGAAGCTACAACACGCCTGTGGACAGATATTGCTTTAGTTTTCAAACAGATTTATTTGTGTTCATCATG